TAGTAGCTGCTGTTTAACATCTTCCCAAGTTGTTATTGGAATAGAAAGTGTTTCTGCATCATATATGATTACATATTTTTCCCCAAATACCAAGCAGAAATATATATTGAACACTTATGCCTTTTTTGCAGTACTATTGACAATGTTACCTGTGACGGGTTCCCCCCGGGGTGCCACCTGGAACTGGGGTACCTCTGAGCCCCCCTGACCCACCAGCCTGGGGTCCCTCTCACCTTGTGCTAAGTTGCCAAGTTGCTGTGCTACGTTGCCAAGTTCTCCAAGCTTGCTCTTTCACCAGCATTCACACAGGTAGGGGACACACCCAGCTGCTGTACTTACAGGCTGCTGTGATCAGCTCTGCATGGGGAGGCTAGAGCTAAGGAATTGCCCAGCTGCTCAAGAGCACATCCCCTTCTGGGCTGTAAACCCACAATTATACAGTCTTGTACTGCACAGAGATATGTACAGAGTAAGCTCATGAAATTTGCCTCCTCCCTCAATGTGGCGAGGGCATATACAACAGCTTTTTGCCCCAAGTTATGACTCCCACACACTGGTTTGTGATAAAGCAAAAACAAATGTATTAACTACAAAAGAGAGATTTTTAAGTCCAGTGAAAGAAGTGTTCAGTTTGAACAATGTTTGGAGTGAAGAAAAATGTTTGGTCTTAAGTTACTTAAGCACTTTTGAAAATTTTACCACATGTTAAAATCCTCCAGTCCAAGACATATGCCTTTATTACTGAGTAAGAAGCTGGCAGTAGTGACACCATAAGAATTTTTTTTTTAAATGTACTTTGTCTTTTGTATATTTTAACCCCCTAAAAATGTCACCATAAGTGTCCCTTTTATTCTTTTGAAAATATGGTCACTTTACTCAGTAGGTGTTTCCAGAACTGCATTATCAGACTGTTTGAAACAGTAATAATGTGACAGTAATAAGAAACCATGTGAATTGCTCCTTTCCTTCACCCCTACATTAACAGAAGACTTTAGGTGATAGGAATGTTTCTTTTTTGTAGTGGCCATCTGTTTCTGTGGCACGGTTATCTACTTTGAAGGTATGGATCTAAATTAATGGTTGACATAAATGTTGACATTGACTTGCGTATACCAATGGAGAACTTGGCGAATGATCTCAAAGGAATGCTTCTCTTATATGTGCACTCTGCCACAGAGTGCAGCAGAGAACTCTAAAATCTGCCATTCTGGAAGATGATCAGCTTAAACAACAAGAAATACCTCATCATCCACAAGAATCTCTCAAATTAATGTTGTTCATTGTAATAAAGTACCCAGAAGTCTGCTGAGCATTTTACGGTAAACCTAGGGAGAGACTGCCTCTGCCCCAAATTCTGATAGTCTAAATGTAAACTGGGATAAAGCAAGTAAGGGAGACTACCAGTGGGAGGAGAAGGATGGGAATTATACCAACATAATCATACTGTGATTCAGGGCTGGTCTGCGCTGAAAACATACATCAACATAGCTCTGCTCTTAGGGGTATGAAATCCAGACCAGTAAGAGACATAGCTATGCTGACATAACCCCAAGTGTAGACAGTGTTAGGTTAATAGAAGAATTCTTCTGTCATCCTAGCTACTGTCTTTTGGGGAGGTGGAGAACCCTTCCAATCGCTATTGTGAGTGTCTACACTGAAGTGCTACAGTGGTGCAGCGCAGCATTTTAAGTGTAGACATAACCTTAATTTAGGCACATATTGTTAGTTTTAGTTAAACATTCATTCATTCATACTGGTTAAGGCAGTAGACTGAGGTTCTGGAAATCTAAGTTCAGTTCCTGGCTCTGCTGCAGACTCCCTATGTGACCTTGGGCAAGGCACTTAATCCCTGTGTCTCAGTTCTTCATATGTAACATGGGAATAACAGATACTTCCTTTGTTCCACCATTTGTCTACCTTGCCTTTTTCGATTGAAAGCTATTTGGGGTCAATTATTGTCTTTTGCTATGCGTTTGCATCGCACTTAGTGCCATAGGGCCCTGATCTTTGTTAGGACATCTAGGTAAATTTTTTTTATTACTGAAAAAGATCAAGAGTAAGTGACCATTGTGAATATTAATGACTCACTTGTAGGTGTCATAGAAGTACTAAGATTTCAGGAAGAATTTAAATATATTTTAAAAGTGAACTCGAAAGACTTACCAAGACCTGAGTTCAGTCCCAGGTCTTTGTGTTTGTAGCACCCAAATATGTGCCCTACCATAATGTTTCTTCTGTTACAGTAGATGCCACCATGGATGCCTAATGAAGCAGTTCTCAACCTTATCCATACTGATTATATATGGAGATATGCCTATCTCATAGAACTGGAAGGGACCCTGAAAGGTCATCGAGTCCAGCCCCCTGCCTTCACTAGCAGGACCAAATACTGATTTTTGCCCCAGATCCCTAAGTGGCCCCCTCAAGGACTGAACTCACAACCCTGGGTTTAGCAGGCCAATGCTCAAACCACTGAGCTATCCCTCCCCCCAGTTTGTTCACATGTGCACTGGTTCTCAGCTTTAGTAGTGACTTTCTTTTGCTCTTCAACTTAAGAGCACCAGAATTTGGAAGACAGATCCAGAAAGCATGATGGAATATCATGATAGTAGAAGGATGGCTAGGTAAGAAGAGGGAAAAGAAAACAGCTTATTGAAAGGTATTTTCACTGAGACATGGCTGCATGGAGCCAAACAATCTAATTTTGATTTTCCCACAAGCTTCCACCCTATTTGAGGGGAGGAACAATAAGACAGGGAGCAGCAGTTGACTTGAAGGCACTAATGCAAATATTCTTTCTGCAAGCTTTCTGGCACCTTGTTCCAAACTGCACTGTGTCCCGAGTATTGAGTTCTACTTTAAGAAGTTGCCTTTAGCAGCATCCAGAACTTTAAAGGGTCTGTAGAATAATGCTGTTTACCAGTACCCTCAGTCTCCCCCTTCTTCCCTTCCTCTTGCAGGAGGATCATGGCCCATAGTTAACTGCTTGAGTGAATACCAAGCAGAGGTTTTAGGTTCTGTCTTACTCAGTGTGTAGGCCAATCAATAGCCAGATGGAACTCTGGGGACAGGAACAGCTTCAGTGCAACCCTCCAAAATGGTGTTACTCAGCAGTTTCACATGCAGGAGGAAGAGAAAAAGGCCCAACATGCTAAGAGTAAGATGGTAGTAAGTAGAGGAAGGAGCTTCAGTCACAGCTTCTCTCCCCAAGCTTGCAGATAAAGGGACAAGAAATGCATGCAGTCTGCTGAGCAAAGTTCTACCTCTGTTCCATTCTGTGCTTAGGCAAGCCCCTGACAGCACTGAATTGGAAAACAACTTTTAACTCCCTCTTTATTGCCCCAGACTCAGAGCAGACACTCTGGCAGCTGGGAAGATAATTAAGATACAAAGAAGTTAAAGCCCTGATTGTGGCTTTAATGAACACAATCTTTTCTAGCTTTTAACTGGACTTACAAATAGACATCTCTTGAAATAACTTTAATAAAAGTATGCAGCATTGGTGTAGTCCTGTTGGTCCCAGGATATGAGAGGGACAAAGGTGGGTAATACCTATATTACACAGAGCTCTTCTTCAGGTCTGGGAAACAGACTCAAAGTGTCACAGCTAAATACAAGATGGAACAGATTGTTTAGCCTAAGTAGTTATCACATTTCAAGGGACCATTCAAGGTGAAGTGGCCCATTAATACCCCTCCATTCACAACCACCACTTCCTGGGACTCCCCTCCAATTTAGCAGTATGGGAAGGGCAAGGGGATTGTGACCTCATAATGCCTGTTTGTAACCTGGAGAGGAGAGGGGGGGTGGGCAGGAACTGGGGAGGAAAGCAAGTTGAGGCTTGCAGGGCTGCTGTGGCCCTCTCCCCGGCTCCAGAGCTTCCTTGCTGCCTGCTGGCAGGGGGGAGAGAGGACCCCTTCTCCCGGAGCTCCCATGCTGCCTGCCAGCAGGGAGAAGGCTGGGGGGAGTCCTCTGGCCTCAGCCCCGGGGCAGCCTGCCTGCACCCCGAACTCCTCATCCCTGGCCCCACCCCAGAGCCTGCACTCCCAACCAGAATCTTCATGCCCCTCCCGCATCCCAACCCTCTGCCCCAGCCCTGAGCCCCTCCCCCGCACCCCAAACCCGTCATCCACAGCTCCACCCTAGAGCCCTCACCCCCGCACTTCACCCTCTGCCCTATCCTGGGCCACCTCTCATGCTCCGAACCTTCAGCCACACCCCATGTGGCTCTCACATTGAAGGTTTTTTGCCAAAGTGGCCCCCACTTCAAAAATAGTGATGCACACTGGTCTGTGTCCTGTGACCAAAGTATGATGCACATGACATTTTTTCCTATTCAAAGGCAGATGGTTGCAAGGTCTGCATATTATATAGGCTACAGGAATGATGCAGCACTGTCATTACCCCACACTGAGAATAGGGATACTAACCAGTTCCTATGGGAGGTGTCAGTGTAAAGATCAGAGCACTGAAGTAATGTGTTCTCAACAACTTCAGTCACTAAATGCGTATGCTGCTATATTAGTGCTAGGTGGAAGTTTTTTCAGGGTATATGGCTTCATTCCTGTAGGTCACAAGCCTGGAGGTCATGAATGCGTGGATCACTGTAGCCAGCTTCTGGCAGTGCTGCAGCTGAAGCACTTGTAGTATGGACATACCCCGCACTTATTTAGTCTCTCCTGTCAGTCAGGTTTTTCAGATATTGCATCATTCTTGTAGGTCATTTTTTGTCTCACTTATACATTGGAAAGAATACCTCCCTACTTCTACTCTGTATTCCCCTGCTTATACAGCCAGGGTCTGAATTACCCCTCTTAGCCACAGCATAACAGTTATTTACTTCTTGGGTTTTACTTTGGCTTCTGCTTTATCAGTAGGGAAGAAATGTTTCTTGTTGCATGGTACTGGAGATCAGCAGGGAGATGCACTTGTGTTCCCTCGCTCTTTTGCCTCTTACCTAAAGTCGTTGTCTTTCTTTTTATGCTGCTGTTTTGCTGCAGGCCTGAGATGCTGAGCCGCTTATCAGGGTTAGCAAACACTGTTTTGCAGGAGCTGTCGGGGGATGGAAGTGATGCACAAGTTGAGTCCTCTACCACTGTGAGTACACTCTCTCATGCCAGAACTATCACTGTTGCTGCTCAGAGCTGGTTCAGGGTGTCCGAGGCACTAGTGTTGTGAATAACTGTCTCCTGATTCCTGTCACCTTGCACCTCACCCAAACTTGTGGCCCCCACCTCTGCCACTCCCTCTGCATTTATGGCATCTTCCGTGCTGCTGCAGTGCAGAACCATATGATCTCTTCAGCTTATGAGATCAACTTGAAAGCTTGGAAAGGAGCTAGAGTTGAAGTGAGCTAGGGGGTTTCTGGGAGGGCTTTGGAGAGCTGACCATTCTCCATAAGAGGAAGAGGACTACTGAATCACATGGGGACCTGCTCTCATGTTGCACTCTGGCTGTAGGAGCAGTGGATGGCATAGGGAGCAGTGGTATCTCTGCTGTGTAAAGTCTTTCAAGTTTGCTGATGTCCTGTTACAGCAGAGATGCTCCTTTTAATATTCTTTGAGAGTATCTGGAACTTTCCTCGTGATTTCAGCTGGTCAGACCTAGTTCATTAGACTAAATGGAAAGTTTGTGAGGAGCTGCATTTAGGCTAGGCTGTAACACAAAGGCCTGGTCTACACTAGGCTTTTATGTCGACTTTAGCGCCGTTATATCGAATTAACCCTGCACCCGTCCACACCAGGAAGCCATTTAGTTCGACATAAAGCTCTCTTTAAATCGATTTCTGTAATCCTCCCCAACGAGAGGAGTAGCGCTAAATTCGACATGGCCATATCGAATTAGGCTAGGTGTGGATGGAAATCGACGCTAATAGCTCCGGGAGCTATCCCACAGTGCACCACTCTGTTGACGCTCTGGACAGCAGTCCGAGCTCGGATGCTCTGACCAGCCACACCCCCGGGAAAATTTGAATTCATTTTCATTTTCCTGTCTGGGCAGTTTGAATCTCAGTTCCTCTTTGGACATCGAGGGGAGCTCAGCAGCAGTGGCAACGATGCAGAGCTCTCCAGCAGAGATGGCCGTGCAATCTAATAGAAAGAGGGCCCCAGCATGGACTGATCGGGAAGTCTTGGATCTCATCGCAGTGTGGGGCGATGAGTCCGTGCTTTCAGAGCTGCGCTCCAAAAGAAGGAATGCTAAGATCTACGAGAAGATCTCCAAAGCCATGGCAGAGAGAGGCTACAGCCGGGATGCAACGCAGTGCCGCGTGAAAATCAAGGAGCTGAGACAAGGCTACCAGAAGACCAAAGAGGCAAACGGACGCTCCGGATCCCAGCCCCACAGATCCCGTTTCTACGAGGCACTGCATTCCATCCTTGCTGCGGCCGCCACCACTACCCCACCACTGACCGTGGACTCTGAGGATGGGATATTGTCCACGGCCGGTTCCTCAGCGGACGGGGAAGAGGAGGAAGGAGATGAGGAGGACGAGGCAGTCGACAGCGCTTACCAAGCTGATTTCCCCGACAGCCAGGAGCTCTTCATCACCGTTACAGAGATCCCCTACCAACCCTCCCCAGCATGTAACCTGGACACAGATTCAGGCGAAGGATCAAGCGGTAAGTGCTTTAAACATATTAACCTTTATTTTTTACAAAACTTGAATATTAAATACTAACAACAATCTGTGAATCATGATTTCTTCCCCCTGGGCGCTTAAGTAATCAGTAACAACTATTTAAAAACAAAAATCAAATAGTGTCCGGTTCTGCATGATTTTGCTGCCCAAGCTGCTCCACTCTTTAGTGCCTGCTACTGCAGCTATATTAGAATCCTGTCTATATATCCGGGGATAGAGCAGTAGTCCTCCACGGACATCTCCACAAAGCTCTGCTGCAGGTAATGGGATAGCCTGTTCAGCAGGTTCCTGGGGAGAGCGGCTTTACTTGGTCCTCCGAAGTAGGAGACGTTCCCGCGCCAGGAGACAAGCAGGTACTCCGGTATCATTGCCTTGCATAGCATGGCGGCATAGGGCCCCGGTCTCTGCAGGCTTTCTCGAAGCATCCGTTGGATCTCGGTGTCCGGGATCCTCATGAGAGTTATGTCGCTCATGATGACCTGCTTTGAATTAGGTAGGGGACTGTTAGTATTGGGACTGCTTGCAACAAGTTCCTTTACAGAACTGTGACCGCTGGTTTACAGCCACGCGGTGGGGGCGGGAGAGGGGCAGCATACAGGGATCTTTCCCTGGCTCATCCGCGAGGGGGTGGGACAGGGCCAGAGTTCCTGCTTGGCCGATTGCTGGCAGCACAGACTGGCAGTGCTTTCAATGTGAAAGGAGGCCAGTGGTACTCCTACAGTTTTAAGCAGCCACAAGTCTACGGCTTACCATGTTTGCCTGCCACAGAGAGTACCGTGTCCTGCCCCGCTTCCCAGATCGGCAGTGCAAAAGCCCAGGCAGTGAAGGCGAGGTTCGAAAATTCGACCTTGTCCGGAGTGCGCATGTGATAGGTGTGGTTCATGGTCTTGTTCACAGAGAAAAACTATGTTCTTGATTCACAACCACATTTATCTTTCGGAGGAATTCACTGCCTTTTCCTCATTCCCACAGCCACATCTGCAACTGTCTCCTAACCCAGCTTGGCATCACACTCCCAGAGGCTAGCGCACATTAGGCGGAGAAAGAAGAAGACGCGAGAGGACATGTTCTCAGAACTAATGGGCTGCTCCTGAGCCCAGGCAGCCCAGCAGAACTAGTGGAGGGAGAATTTGTCACAAATGCACCGGACACACATGGAACGTGAGGAGAGGTGGCGGGCAGGAAGACCAGCAGGCGACTCAAACGCTGCTTGGACTTCTGAGGGAGCAAACGGACACGCTCCGGCGCCTTGTTGATGTTCTGCAGGAACGGAGGCAGGAGGACAGAGCCCCGCTGCAGTCTATCAGGAACCGCAGTCCCCCGCCACCAAGTCCCATACCCCCCTCTCCCAAAGTCCAAAGAAGGAGGGGTGGCAGAGTCCGTGAAAACTCTCACTCCACCCCTGCAGACTGCTCAAGCACCAGAAGGCTGTCATTGCCCAAAATTTGAAAAGTCCTTTCCTGCCCGCCTCACCCAAGCCCCCGTCCGACTTTCACCCCCCAGTTTCCTGTCTGGTTGTTAATAAAAAATATGTTTCTGTTCATTACTGTTTCAGTCAGGTTCTTTTGAGGGAGAGTCTGTCTGGAGGGGGGGAAGGGGCTTGGTAATTGGACAGGACAGTGACCTTTAGCAGGGTACAGAGGCGGGGTCAGGTCCAGCATCAGGACACACACACAGTGCGGTCACTGGTTACCCTGGTCAGTCTTGGAGGTGGTTTTCATGTTCTGGGGGGGGGGGGTTGCTCTGTTACTTTGTGGTGGGGGAGGGCGGTTACAGATCTTATGCAGCGGTCCTTATCCTGGCTCACAGATCCACGCAGCAGGGGATCTGTAACCCTACCCCCCCTGCCAGAAAGTCACATAGCCGACACATACACACAGTCCCCCCCAGGAGTGCTGGCAGGCTCCATTGAAATAACCAGTCCACCAGTGCGGAGCCTGTCATTCCGGGAGTTTAGAAGCATCATTTGCATCAGAACACTAAACCCGCCCCCCGCCACAGTCTGCGTCCCCGGTTTAAAATATTCCCGCGAAAACAGCAATACAGACAACGGTGTTCATTAACAAAATCGAAATGATTTTATTTTTTGGGAAGGGGAAGGGGGTGAAGGGGGTATGTAACTGGAGAGGATAGTCAAAATGAACTGGGTAAAGAAACGGGGGCAGGTTCAGCTTTTCTGTCCACAAACTGAAAAGTCACTGGTTGCCCTGCTCACTCAGGAACCTAGCTTTCAAAGCCTCCCGGATGCACAGGGCGTCCCGCTGGGATCTTCTAATGGCCCGGCTGTCTGGCTGGACGTAATCAGCAGCCAGGCTATTTGCCTCTAGCTCCCACCCCGCCATAAAGGTCTCCCCCTTGCTCTCACACAGATTGTGGAGCACACAGCAAGCTGCAATAACGATGGGGATATTGGTTTCACTGAGATCACAGCGAGTCAGTAAGCTTCTCCATCTCCCTTTGAGACGGCCAAAAGCACACTCCACTACCATTCTGCACTTGCTCAGCCGGTAGTTGAAGAGTTCTTTTTCTGTGTCCAGGGCGCCAGTATAGGGCTTCATGAGCCAGGGCATTAGCGGGTAGGCTGGGTCCCCGAGGATGACTGTAGGCATCTCCACATCCCCAAGAGTTATTTTGTGGTCTGGGAAGTAAATACCTTCCTGCAGCCGTCTAAACAGACCAGAGTTCCTGAACACGCGAGCGTCATGAACCTTGCCCGGCCATCCGACGTAGATGTTTGTAAACCGTCCCCGATGGTCCACCAGTGCTTGCAGTACCATTGAAAAGTAGCCCTTTCTATTGATGTACTGGCTGGCCTGGTGGTCCGGTCCCAGGATAGGGATGTGAGTCCCATCGATAGCCCCACCGCAGTTTGGGAATCCCATCGCGGCAAAGCCATCTATGATGACCTGCGCGTTTCCCAGTGTCACTACCTTTGGGAGCAGTACCTTGACGATTGCCTTGGCTACTTGCATGACAACAACCCCCACGGTAGATTTGCCCACACCAAAGTGGTTCGCGACTGACCGGTAGCTGTCCGGCGTTGCAAGCTTCCAGAGGGCTATGGCCACTCGCTTCTGGACAGTGAGGGCTGCTCGCATGCGGGTGTCCTTGCGCTTCAGGGCAGGGGACAGCAACTCACAAAGTTCGAGGAAAGTCCCCTTCCGCATGCGAAAGTTTCGCAGCCACTGGGATTCATCCCAGACCTGAAGCACTATACGGTCCCACCATTCCGTGCTTGTTTCCCGGGCCCAGAATCGCCGTTCAACAAAATCCACATGCCCCATTGCCAACGTCATGTCCTGGGCGCTGGGGCTCGTGGTTTCTGACAGCTCTGTGCCACTCTCCGACTTCAGGCTCTCACGGCGGTGCCGTAGCCTCCTCGCCCGATTTCTCTGCATCTGCCTCAGGGAAAGGTGTCTGATAAGCTGCGAGGTGTTGAGAACGGCCACAAGTGCAGCGATGGTCGCAGCGTGATCCATGATCGCAGTGCTGTGGCGTCCGCGCTGTCACTGACCAGAAAAGTGCGCGAACTGATTTCCCGCCGGCGCTTTCATGGAGGGAGGGAGGGCGTTAGTGACGGACGGATGACGACAAATTTTTTTTACCCAGAAGGCATTGGCGGCTCGACCCAGAATTCCGATGGGCAGCGGGGACTGCGGGAACTGTGGGATAGCTGCCCACAGTGCACCGCTTCCAATATCGACGCTCGCCCCGTTAGTGTGGACTCACAAAGTCGAATTACTGTCCTTAGTGTGTCCTTAGTGTGGACACACACGTTCGACTTTGCAATATCGATTCCACATATTCGATTTAAGTAAAATCGAATTACCCTCGTAGTGTAGACATACCCAAAAACAGAGTTGCAGGTCTCTCTCTGGGCACTATGCTGTGGTCTTGGAATTAGTTTTAGTGAGTTACTTTTTCAGAGTTTCCGTTTGACCTTCTCTAGGTGTCAGAACCAGGAATGGAGAGCAGGGAGGAGATGCCCAAGGATATACTGGAGCGTCTGGCCCACACAGAGCAGCTGGCTGTCCAGCTGAAGGATTTGGTCCGAGAGAAGGATGCCCAGCTCCAGCAGAAAGAAGTTGAACTCAAGGTACTGTTCCTTCCACCAGGGGTCTGGGAGTAAGGCTGAAGGTATGTCTACATTGAAATTTGACATCCGGGTCTGGCCCATACCAGCTGACTTGGACTCACGGGGCTTGGGCTAAGGGGCTAGTTAATTGCAGTGTGGACGTTTGGGCTCTGGCTGGATCCTGGGCTCTGGGACACTCCCACGTTGCAGGGTCCTAGAGCCCAGGCTTCACTGGAAGCCCAAATGTCTATACCGCAATTAACCAGCCCCTTAGCCTGAGCCCTGTGAGCTGGAGTCAGCTGGCACGGGCCAAACAGGTGTTAAATTGCAATGTAGACATACCCTGAGATGCTGCTATTACTGTTTTCTGTGGAGTGCAGTCTCTGGCTTCTTTGGGGTCTCTTTTCTCATGTGGAGACACTTAAGTCTGTTTAAAGCAACAAAGAGTCCTGTGGCACTTTATAGACTAACAGATGTATTGGAGCATAAGCTTTCATGGGTGAATGTCTGTTTGACATTCCCTAACACTGCAAGCTGGCAGCTTCAGGGCGAATTAATTTCCTCGTGGATGGTGCTATGGAACCTTGAGTACAGTCTTTGCATCTTTTCTTCCACAGGAAGAGAGGGAGGCTGCAGATACTAAGTTGAAGAAGCTGAAGCTGCAGGCTAAAGCCAAGCTGGCAGCTCTGAATAAACGCATTGAGGAGCTGACAGAGCAGGGGTCAGTGTTGCCTGCAAAGAGCCTGCCAGAAGAGCAGCTGCATCACAGGAAGGTGGGAAAGATATGGCTTTAGGAAAAGCTCTAGCATGTACTGAGAATCTGGGTGCTAATTAAGTTCCTGATGTCTCCTGCTATTCATGATCCTTTTTTTAAATGGCCTTTTTTCTCTCTGAATATCCTGACCCTAGAGGCACACTGCCTGCTATTAGAAACACTCCAACAGGAATATGGGCACTCTGTGGGAGGCCAGAGTCTGGCCTGCTTCCTCATGGTGTGGATGCCCTCAGAGTGGTTAGCTGTGATCTCTGCAAGCCACTTACCTGCCTGCTTCCCTTTGCATGCCTTATCTGAGCCCTATTGCTATTTCTACACGAATAATCTGTTCTTTAGGCCAAAAAACTTTGTATCTTTCATCTGAGCTACAGGTTTCCATCAAATAGGAACAGAGGAGGCAGTGTTGACAGAGATGTAAGAGCAAGGGGACATCAATGCAATTGAAAGGCAATACATTTAAACTGATTAGAAGTGGGGGGTTTTTTTGTTTTTGTTTTTACTAGCTCATAGTTAACTTATGGAACTCGTTGCCACAAGATTGAGGCCAAATGTTTAAGATTAATAAAGGATTATAGACGTGTACAAGAATATCCACAGTTACATTAGACTGGATAAAAAAATAGAGATAAATTAGCCAACCCGTAGCTGATGGGTTAGGTAGAAACTCCACAAAGGCTGATGTGTTTTTTTTCATATCTCATTGTGGGAAATTCGACATATAAGCATCATAGTTTCATGGGTGGAAGCATAGGGGAACCATGTCCCCTAACAGCGGTAGGCTTAAACTGAAAGCAGCTTAAGAAGTGTTCCTGTTTTTAACACTCAGATGCCCAACTCCCAATGGGGTCTAAACCCCAAATAAATCCATTTTATCCTGTATAAAGCTTATACAGGGTAAACTCATAAATTGTTCACCCTCTATAACACTGAGAGAGAGATATGCACAGCTGTTTGCCCCCCCCAGGTATTAATACATACTCTGGGTTAATTAATAAGTAAAAAGTGATTTTATTAAATACGGAAAGTAGGATTTAAGTGGTTCTAAGTAGTAACAGACAGAACAAAGTGAATTACCAAACAGAATAAAATAGAAAACGCAAGTCTATGTCTAATACAGTAAGAAAACTGAATACAGATAAAAACCTCACCCTTGGAGGAATTCCAGTAAGCTTCCTTTTACAGACTAGTATCCTTCTAGTCTTGGTCCAGCAATCACTCATATCCCCTGTAGTTACTGTCCTTTGTTCCAGTTTCTTTCAGGTATCCTTGGGAGTGGAGAGGCTCTCTCTTTAGCCAGCTGAAGACAAAATGGAGGGGTCTCCCAGGGGTATAAATAGACTTTCTCTTGTAGGTGGACACCTCTTCCTCCCCCTGTGTAGAATCCAGCTACAAAATGGAGTTTGAGTCACATGTCCATGCATGACTCAGTTTTTACAGGCAGCAGCCATCGCCCACATGCTATCTTGAATGTCTCCAGGAAGACTTCTTATGTGGATTGGAGCCTTCCAAGATCCATTGTGCGTTAAGTGCTTCTTGACTGGGCACTTAACTTGCAAATTCCTTTCTAAAGAAGCTGACCAAATGCCTTACTAAGGTTATTTAAAATTAAATTAAATTAATTAAATTAATGGAGATATCCTATCTCCTAGAACTGGAAGGGACCTTGAAAGGTCATCAAGTCCAGCCCCCTGCCTTCACTAGCAGGACCAAGTACTGATTTTGCCCCAAATCCCTAAGTGGCCCCCTCAAGGATTGAACTCACAACCCTGGGTTTAGCAGGCCAATGCTCAAACCACTGAGCTATCCCTCCCCCCAAAATCAAACAAGTATACAGCCAATATTCATAACTTCGAATACAACAATGCCACATGCATACAAATAGGATGAATATTTTCAGTAGATCATAACCTTTATATAGATATGTTACATGGCATATGTAGCATAAAACATATTCCAGTTATGTCATATATATATATATTCATAAGCATATTTCCATAAAGCCTTATGGGGAGCACCGTCATAGAGGTCCCTTGGGACATGAAAGGGAAGGGGTTCTACTCCTGGTACTTCCTAATCCCAAAAGCAAAAGGAGGCCTCAGACCCATCCTGGACCTGTGTTGCCTCAACAAGTCTCTCAAGAAGTTGAAGTTGTTCTTCGAGTGCTTGTTCATGTCCATTCCAAGCAGGCGTGTGCGCGCTGCGTGCACGCCAGCCAGAAGATTTTTCCCTTAGCAGCATCTGTAAGGTTGGCCCGGGCGCTCCCTGCAGTGGCGCCACCATGGCGCCCTATATAGGGTCCCGCCGACCCTCCACCCCCTCAGTTACTTCTTACTGTCTGTGACGGCTAGCTGGGACTTTGCTCACTCTCGCAGCAAGCCTAGCAGTGTCTCTGTTTGTGTATATAGTTCTCTTTTTTTCTCATAGTTTTAGAGTTAGTTAGTTGTAAGATAGTAGTAGTTGGGGGGTCCTCCCCAACGTAACCCTTGCCCCTTTCTGGGGCATGCCCGGGTCCCCAGGGTTTAAACTCTGTGTGGACTGCGGGAAGTTTAAGCCGAAGAGTGACCCGCACTCTTCCTGCTTGAGGTGCCTTGGAGAGAGCAGTGCCACATCTGCAAGGGGTTCCGTCCCAGGACTCTCAAGGACAGAGAGCAAAGACTGAGTGCTTCTGATGGAGGCGGCCTTACGGCCACACTCGGACCCCAAGCCTGCCGACCCGGCGCCCAGCGCCTCATCCTCGGTGCGCAGCAGTCCGGCACCATTAGCCAGAGAGGAGGCCCAATCTAAGAACTCTAAGTCCTGGCACCAGAGAGAATCGGGACATAGGAAATGGGCCTCCATGTGGCACCGATCACCGTCTCCGTTGCCCGCGAAAAAGAAGAGGCCAGTGAGGCGCCGATCACCCCACCAGGACCCTAAAAGGCCGGCGGCGTCCACAAGTGTGGTGGGACAAGCCGCGCCTCAGGCGCCACCTCCCAAAGTTCCGTCAACTCCTGCCCCTGTGGGGGTACAGTCTAATCCAGACCAGTCCAGGTCCCCGGACCTCCACGAGGATGTGCGCCTTCCATCGACGCTGGAGGCGTTCGAGGCGGCTTCAGACTTGTTAAGCCTCCTGGTACCGGCCTCCCCACAATCGAGGGGCAAGCTGGCTATAATGACGCCTCAGTCCCCGCCCCGTGCCGCTCCGGCAGCACCGGCGCAGAGAGAACGATCACCCTGTTCCCCGGACTCGTGGTATTGCTCGCCAGCAACAGTGGGTATTGCCTCTCCTTGGTATTCGTACTCGGAAACCTTGGAGTCCGAGGCGGACTCCTACCGCTCTAATAGATCAAGGAGCAGGAGGTCGGCTTCACAAAGAAATCAGCGACCTTACCCGGCGCCTTGGCAACAGCAATGGCAACCGCCCTCCCAGTGGCCATTCTGGACCCCCTGGGCTTACCATCAGGCCCAGGGCCAAGTGCATGGCCCACGATCCAGGTCCACGTCTGTCTCCTCGATGTCAGTGGCTCTGGTGCAAATGCCTCCACCAGCAGCACCGCCGTCCAAGAGGAGCGTGCCTCCTTCTCAACAGGATCCGGCACTGCCCCGTCAGACACCGGCACCGATGGAGGCCATGTCCTCGACGCCGCAGGCACCGTTCGGCGTCGACCTCGATACTGGTCACGGTGCCGCCTCCTACATCCGCACTGGCCATGCAACCCGAGTACCGTGTGCCGCAGGAGCTGAGGGTAGCAAGGAAGGTCCCCTGCAAGTGATTTCCTCCTCTTCCTCGCCGGACGAAGCGGCTGCAGGGACTTCTGCGGCACCTGCTCTGGAGGACAACTGGGTGCTCCGACAACTGCTCAAACGAGCCGCCCAGAGCCTGGCTATTCAGGCTGAGGAGGTAGAGGTGGATGTGGACTCTGTAGTGGACATCCTGGCTCCCTCGGGCCCGTCTAGGGTCACCCTACCGCTGATTAAAACAAATGCCGACACGTCCTGCACCCTATGGCAGACCCCAGTCAAAAAGACGGAGAGGCGCTACTTCGTGCCTTCCAAGGGCCATGAGTACCTCTATGCTCACCCTCCCCCGGACTTTCTGGTTGTGGATGCGGCCAACCAAAGGGAACGTCAGGAGTTTCAACGGTCTACGCCAAAGAACAGGGGAAGGCCAAGAAGCTAGATCTCTTTGGTAGGAAGGTCTACTCAATGGGGGGACTGCAGCTGCGTACAGCCAACCAGCAGGCTATAGTTAGCCGGTATGGCCATAACACGTGCTCAGCTTTGTCCAAGTTCGCTGAACTCCTTCCCCAGGAATCAGAATTCTCCGCTCTGGTGGAGGAGGGGAAGCTGATTTTGCTTGCATCCCTCCAAGCGGCCCTGGACGTGGCGGATGCAGCCTCCTGCACACTGGCCACTGGACTGGTGATGCGGCGGGGGTCCTGGCTTCAGGTCTCCGGCCTTCCTCATGCGGTCCAGCAGACCATACAAGACCTTCCCTTTGAAGGGCCCACGCTGTTTTCCGAGAAAATGGACAAAAGGCTCCATAGCCTAAAGGATTCAAGGGCCACGTTGCGCTCGCTCAGCCTGCAGACTCCAGCCACCCAGCGCAGGCAATTCAGGCTGCAGCCAGCTCAGCGGCCGTACCAGCCCCAAAACCGCCTGGAGGCCCCGGGCAGGCGAAGTAGAAGTAGCAGGAGGAGGCAACACCCGTCCTCCGGACAACTGCGGCCTCCGTCGGGGCCTAGACCCCAAATTTGATGGTGCGGTCGAGGACGACCTACCAGTCAGGACCTTGGATCCTACCAACCTTACCTTTTCGTCCCGTCTGTCCCCCTTCTACCGTGCCTGGTCCTGAATCACATCGGACAGTTGGGTGCTCCGTACGGTAGAGAGGCGATATTCTATCCTGGCTCAAGTCCCAACACAGGAAATATGTACAGCTGCCACATGGTCTTCAATCCATACTTTCACGTTGCATTATGCCATCACGCATCAGGCTAGAGATGATGCAGCCTTCGG